CGATTTATGGCATGTATTTGAATGAAATAACCGGACGAGTTTCAGTCGGTTGCTATAGTAATGTCCATGTCACTGGACTAGACCCAGGAATAGAGTTAACCCTGGGATGATTTTTACCAAGGTAAGATTAACCCTGGAGTGATTTTTACAAAGGTTAGATTCAACCTGGGATGATTTTTACTAAGGTTAGATTAAACCTGGGATGATTTTTACTAAAGTTAGATTAAACCTGGGATGATTTTTACTAAAGTTAGATTAAACCTTGGATGATATTTACTAAGGTTAGATTAAACCTGGGATGATTTTTACTAAGGTTAGATTAAACCTGGGATGATTTTTACTAAGGTTAGATTAAAACTGGGATGATTTTTACTAAAGTTAGATTAAACCTGGGATGATTTTATAGAAGTTAACCTTAGTGTAGGCAAGGAGAAATCCGACAGGAAGGTCATTGTCCCTGCTCTGCCGAGATGATGTCCGTCCGTCCTTATGTTATTGCATTGCCGGTCGTTTAGCCCACGTCTGTCAGTCTGTAATATACCTTAAGTTGGACCCGTTTTTTTAGAAACCTAGTGTGATTTGAAAAATGTTAATTCGATTGTTCCGGTGGTTAGGGCTGGACATTTTATGTTCCGACGGCCCGCTTAGTCCACCTAGGGTAAGATTTGAAATGTAGCTGGTAATGAAATTGAAGTATTATTATGTGGATAGAAACCTGAGGGTAGGCAAGGAGAAATACCACAGGGAAGTCATCGTCCCTGCCCTGCCGAGATAAAATCTGTCTGTCCATCCGGGCGTATGTTATTGCACTGACGGTCGTTTAGCCCAAGTCTGTCAGTCTAGAATATACCTTAAGTTAGACCTGATTCTTTTAAAAACCTAGTCCGATTTGAAAAATGTTATTTCAATTGTTCCGGTGGTTAGGGCTGGACATTTAATGTTCCGACAGCCCGCTAAGTCCACCTAGGGTATGATTAAAATGAAATCGGGTAATGAAATTGAAGTATTATTATGTGGATAGGAACTCGAGGGTAGGCAAGGAGAAATCTCACAGGGAGGTTATCGTCCCTGTCCTGCCAAGATGAAATCAGGCCGCCCGGGCCTTTTTTATTTCACTGCCGGTCGATTAGCCCAAGTCTGTCAGTCTCGGATGGTACGTTAAATTGGGCCGATTTACGGCATGTATTTGAATGAAATAACCGAACGAGTTTCAGTCGGTTACTATAGTAATGTCCATGTCACTGGACTAGAACCAGGAATAGAGTTAAACCTGGGATTATTTTTACAAAGGTTAGATTAAACCTGCAGTGATTTTTACAAAGATTAAATGAAACCTGAGATGATTTTTACAAAAGCTAGATTAAACCTGAGATGATTTTTAGAGAGGTTGGATTAAACTAAACCACAGTGATATTACAATGTGGTTATCTCGAGAACCCCCTAAAATGATTGATTTTTAAGAAAAAACTTTCTAGTCATTTTAAAAACCCGTTAAGTTTAAACCTGGTTTAATTTTAAAGAGAGCTGGTACAATAACCAACTATAAGGTTCTATTCTAAATTACAAGATTAGATTAAACCTGGTTTGATTTTAAAGAAAGCTGGTATAAGAACCCACCATAAGGTTCTATTCTAAACCATAATGCTTAGATTAAACCTGGGATGATTTTTACTAAGGTTAGATTAAACCTGGGATGATTTTTACTAAGGTTAGATTAAACCTGGGATGATTTTTACTAATGTTAGATTAAACCTGAGAGGATTTTATAGAAGTTAACCTTAGGGTAGGCAAGGAGAAATCCCACAGGGAGCTCATCTTTCCTTGCCATGCCATAGTACGATTTGAAAAATGTTATTTTGATTGTTCCGGTGGTTAGGGCTGGACATTTTATGTTCCGACAGCCCGCTTAGTCCACCTAGAGTATGATTTGAAAAGCAGCTTGTAATGAAATTGAAGTAGTACTACATGAGTAGAAATCTGAGGGTAGGCAATGAGAAATCACACAGGGAGGTTATCGTCCCTGCCCTGCCGAGATGAAATCAGGCCGCCTAGGCCTTTGTTATTTCACTGCCGTTCCTTTAGCCCAAGTCTGTAAGTCTCGGATGGTACGTTAAATTGGGCCGATTTACGGTATGTATTTGAATGAAATAACCAAAGGAGTTTCAGTCGGTTACTATAGTAATGTCCATGTCACTTGACTAGAACCGGGAATAGAGTTAAACCTGGGATGATTTTTCCAAAGGTTAGATTAAAACCTGGATGTATTTTTACAAAGGTTAGATTAAACCTGGAGTGATTTTTACAAAGGTTAGATGAAACCTGGTGTGATTTTACAAAGGTTAGATGATTTTATAGAAGTTAACCTTAGGGTAGGCAAGGAGAAATCCCACAGAGAGGTCATCGTCCCTGCTCTGCCGAGATGCTCTCAATGAAATTAATGACAGCAATTGAAGACCATGGGCCCTGATGTGTGGAGATGCTCTCTGTGAAACTAGTGATAGCAATTGATGAGCATGGACCCTACTCTGCCCAGATGCTCTCTGTGAAATTAATGGTAGCAATAGAAAACCATGGACCCTGGTCTGTTAAGCAGGCTTCCAAGTTTAGATATCATATATCTTTTGTGTTTACTCATATCTTATTTTCTAATGATGTAGATTATGGTGAAATATGATGAAATATGCTGGTAATATAGTATCATATGGTAGAATTGTGGCTGTCCGTGTTTACCACTCATCATGTCAGTCAGTCCATTGCATGTATATGGTAAAACCACCACTAATGCTTTTTTCTCTATTTTAGTATATGGTAAATGAAATCTGATAAAAACAATATGGTGAAGAGTGCACTGCTATACTTCATGAGTAGGCGGGGAGTAAATTCCTCAGGGAATTCATCTACCCTGCCTTGCCGAAATGGTCTGTCCGTCAGTCCAGTGGGTGTTTATTGTTTAATCTACCAAGTCTGTTGTGTTTGTCAGTTCTGTGGGTCTATTTAAATTGAACTTCCAAGTCTGTTGGTGGTCAGTTGTGTCTGTCATTTCTGTGGGTCTGTTTTGTTGGAACTGCCAAGTCTGTTGGTGATCAGTTGTGTTTGTCAGTTCTATGGGTCTATTTTGTTGGAACTGCCAAGTTTGTTGGCGGTCAGTTGTGTTTGTCAGTTCTGTTGGTCTATGTTGTTGGAACTGCCAAGTTTGTTGGCAGTCAGTTGTGTTTGGTCAGTTCTGTTGGTCTATGTTGTTGGAACTGCCAAGTTTGTTGGTGGTCAGTTGTGTTTGTCAGTTCTGTTGGTCTATGTTGTTGGAACTGCCAAGTTTGTTGGCGGTCAGTTGTGTTTGTCAGTTCTGTTGGTCTATTTTGTTGAAACTACCAAGTCTGTTGGTGGTCAGTTGTGTTTGTCAGTTCTGTGGGTCTATTTTGTTTGAACTGACAAGTCTGTTGGTGGTCAGTTGTGTTTGTCAGTTCTGTGGGTCTATTTTGTTTGAAGCTGCCAAGTCTGATGGTGGTCAGTTGTGTTTGTCAGGTCCCTCAGGGAACTCATCGACCCTGCATTGAATTTGTTTTAACTGCTTAATTTATTTATCTCTTATGATTATAGTATTATGTATTATGGTAAAAACTGATAGGACTATGTTGGATATGGTGAAAAGTGGGTGGAAATATAGCAGCACTTGATGAAGATTGGTAAGTGTAGTTTTAATATATCTTCGTGAACGAAGTAAACAGAAAGATATATCCAATATAGAAAATTTCCACCTGCAAATTTGTGTTCACTTATATCTTTTCCAGGTAGAGTGTGGTACTATGAAATTTATGTTGAACTTGGTGGAAATATGGTAGAAATATGGCAACTCTTGGTGCAAAGCGGTAGGTGTAGTTTTACTAATTCAAATTCTTAACTGGGTAGGCAGACATCAAATCATGGAACAGTTCCTTGAGATGAGATGGTGCTCTAATTAATTATATAATGTTTTAATAATTCCATATTTGTTTATGATCATTCATATCTGTTAATTTTGATAAATTATTTTACAGTTTTGAGGTATATATTGTTTAAACTACCAAGCCTGTTGGTGGTCACTTATGTCCGTCAGTCATGTGGGTGTATATTACTTAAACAGCCGAGTCTCTTGGAGGTCACTCATGTCCGTCAGTCATGTGGGTATATATTGTTTAAACTACCAAGCCTGTTGGTGGTCACTTATGTCCGTCAGTCCAAGGCGTGTATATTATTTAAACAGCCGAGTCTTTTGGTGGTCACTCACGTCCATCGGTCCAGTGGGTGTATATCATTTCTACTGGCAAGTCTGTGGGTGTATATTACTTAAACAGTCAAGTCTGTTGGTGGTCACTTATGTCCGTCAGTCCAGTGGGTGTATATTGCCTAAACAGCCGATTCGATAGGGGGTCACTCATGTCATCAGTCCAGTAGGTGTATTTTGTACCAACTCCTCTGTGGGTGGAATCGTCATTTGTGTTCATCTGTCCAATGTTTTGTGTATTACAGTTTATTTCTGTCAGTCGACTGATATTCAGGCATTCGAGTCAGGTCAGATTAACACAACTTAATCTGTATCACAGATGTTTGAAAATGCACGCTAGCAGAGCCCTGGACAGAAAGGTAGGTACACAATAAGCGATAATATTTACAGACTTTCTGTCGAAGGGCTCTGATTGGCTGTCTTCGCTGTCGAACGAAGAAAGGTAGCTTTTATTGTCAATATTCTTCTCAGGAAACGTTCTTTAAATATTATTGATAAAAGTGTAGAATACAGCGACTTTAATTGAACTATTTACTAAAGGAAACAAGGATGAGGTATCGCTGATTCACAGTATATAATATATCCTACACAATGATGTCATGACATTTCAGAATTTTCCGATAACGCATAGCATGACACATATTGGAAATACATCATAAACCTGTATTATTCTACAAAACAGTGACATACGATTATTGATATACCAGCCAGTGATTCAAAATGGATTTATGTGTAATACTGTGTTTTTCTGTGTTAAATTTTCTAGTAAAAGCAGATAGTAAGTTTTATTTTTCTTTCTTTGTGATAGTAATCGGTGGACGTATTGTCTTTTCGACGTCCATGTACAATAATATTGCTGTGGTCAATAAATATGCATAAAATTGGTTTTGTTTGAGGCAAACATTTTTGTTCAGCGTAATAAGTGAAATACTTTTGTCGAGAGGTTTGGGTAAGCTTCGACGGTAACAATCTACTTCCATGGACACCATGCTGCTTTTATATTTTAAATTTTTGCATTTTTCTTTATTTAAATCTACAATAGATCTTTATTTTTTTTTTTTGTCAAATTCGACATTTGTCTTGAGGTAGTTATGGCACTGTTTTTTCTAAATGCCAGTTTAAGACCCTGGAAAATGTATTTTGTTTCACATTATACATTGATACATCTCAATTTCAGTTCGTCTACCACCGTCAATATCATCACCTAGGACACCACAGAAAATCTATTTTAAACGTTCTGATAATCCTGATACATCTGTTCAGAGGGTGCTGTCATGTGAAGCGCAAGGGAGTCTACCCCTAGAGTAAGTTCCATTCCAGTCTGAACGTAAAAATAAAAAACCCTTACAAGCATTAACCATAAATCTCGTGAAAAGCATAACAAAATCGTGAGCAATCGGTGTATTGTAGGATCCCTCCAAACGAGATGTACCATCAGGTGTTTCGGAAAGAGTAAGAAAATAAGTTCAGATTTATATGTCATGGTTTTTATCGAGGTGAAATACTTAATTTGGGATCCTTAATAATATTTCATTTACATAAACTTAACATTTGTAGAATATACTGGAGGAAAAATGGGATTACGGTTGAGCAGTCGAAGTATGTAAAGTTTGATGTATCAGATGGTGAACTTGCTATAACTGATCCGACAAGAGAAGATGAAGGGGTCTATCAATGTATTGCTACCAATAAATGGGGAACGAGTTTATCTCAACCCTTTCACTTCATAATGGGAAGTAAGTAACATTAAAACATGGAAGTAAAATGCATTTTGCATTCTCTTATTGCTTATCGAGACATACAAAAAATGCTCCAATTACATTACAATGTGATCTGTATAATACAAATACAAGCAAAGAAATTCCATTAAAAATATGTGCCCAAAGCAAGAAAAGTAGGGAGTAATAATTGTTTAGTAGTCGACTTAAATCCAAAAGACTGACATATATATAGACATGGCACAAGTTAGTCATCCTATCACACGGAAGTAAAATGTAATCTGTATTTTCTCAATGCTTATCTAAAAATACAACACGGCTTAAATTGATAGTCCGAGTGAGGTTTATTAGATATTAGCCGGAAATATATTGTCAAAAATGTCCGTATTAAACATGTGTTATGCTGTCTGTTTATCTACATATAAATTATATCCCTTTTTGAGGAGTAATGTCCTGATTTAGCTTCAACTCATGGTACTTATGGAAGCTGGGGTTAATTTGTCATCTTTCGCCATCATCGACAGTTATTGATGGGGGACCGGAAACCTTTCAATGTTAAAGTCAAATATAACCCAGAATCGCAATATATTTTAAATTTGGTTATTGCCCACAGACATCAATGGTTTTTCAAGAATGTCATGACAAATTGTACAAGGATGATAATGACAGAATTACGCGGACAAATGCAATGCACAAATATCCGATATTTACAGCTTAGGTCTATATTATTATCATAACATTACATTATTACATTAAACGGGATTGTCGTGACCTTTTGACATTTTAATGGATTGTAAGTAAACGTGCAACCGGAAGCTGAGCGGTTATAATTTTATAACTAGTCCCAACAAATTTAAACTCATTTCAATTGTCATTTTCTAATAAATTATTTGGCATCTCGTCAATGAACTTTCTCTCCAAAGCGTAGCTTGTCGGGATGCCATATAATCCATATGTAGTGGTAGTGTCAATAGGAGAACAAAATATTTATGTATCATATGTAACAGAATGGACAAAATCAATTCTGTTTTTCAATTTTTTTTTTTAGCTGAGACCCCTTCCCCTGTCCTACACACCTTTTAAAGGAGGTGTTGCCCGTGGCAATTGCGCAATGAAAATTTCAACCCCGACAGTTCACCAGTCTATCCCCTATTTATACCCCAGAAGGATGGCGACGCCTCTGTCAATATGGTACTAACCCACCTCAGTTCAACCATAAATGTCACTGAAAGGATCATTTATATCTTACAGGGCACGGCAGTTTCCCAGATGATCCTGTTACATCGCTGTCAGTAAATGAAGGAGATAGTGCATCTCTAACTTGTGATAACCAACCTATATCTGTACCGGCTGGTACTTATTTCTGGTATAAACAACCTGTGAATCAGCAGGGCGGGGCCCAGGATCAGGTCATAGAGAGCGACAGACATGCTATAGATAAAACAGGTCAGATATAATGTGAAAATTCATCGGTCAATCGCTTTTCTTTTGTTGGCACTTCCTATAGTAGTGTTTTTGTAAATGTTAAACAGCTATGACGGGTGTGGCGCAAGGCAGGGTATGCTAACCCTTCTAAACAACTTTTTATACCATATATCCACTCAACGGAGAAAATAACTGTTATAACCCAACCATTTAGCAGTTCATTACACCATTAGCTAATGAGCATGGAAGTTCATTAGGTAATAGTGGACAAAGCCAAGAATGCATGTAAAACTTCCATTTGATTCAATCCCATCATAAAACGTTCAAGTTATTACATATTTAGTCCCATATTTTCCGCTACCGAGTTGTGGTTTGTAAAACTATTTGTCCGGAAAGAGTGGTACACGATAGAGAGACATTAAATGTAGCAGGAAATTGGGTCAAGTGGAAATCGAGGATCGCCAATGAATTTATTAGCATTTGCAGTTTTATTTATTTGTCCGTTGGGCAATATCCTCGTCAACCTTTGTTGGAATCCCTATCACTGTGGTTAATTATATATATATATATTTCGAGGCATTTTGGATCTTTAAAGATGTGAATAGACGAGGTGTCCCCACAAAACAGGGCCTACTTTTTCTGTCTCTACACCAGCTGACAACTTTAAAAACCGTTAGCAGGGGCTGGATAGAGGCAAATGTTTTCTTTAATTCCAGGACGTAAAAGATCCTTCGAAAATAGCAAATTGAAAAAGAGTTGGCCAATGCCACTGTCTTGACAAAATATCCTTCAATCTGCACTGCATGGCATCGTTTTGTATCTTTATTAGGTGCAGAAGAGTAGAACATAAATTCCTAATTTTAATCTTTTAATTCCAGGAACACTTTACTTTATAAACGTAATAAAACGTGACCAGTTGATAGATAAAGTATATGCCTGTGGTATTTATAATTCTTTAGACGAGTCAATCAAGATTGGCAGCAAAAAACGTCTGGATGTCAGCCCGCCAAGTACAGGTAAGCAGGTTTTGCCCTTACTCATGTATTCACTGTTGGTTCTCGTAGTCCGTATGTCACCTACTGGGGTGAAAGGGGGGGGGGGGGGGTACCTAAATCGGCATGAGCTTTTGAGCAATTGCAAAGTTTTATTTGTTTGATACAAATCAAAGGTGTGATTACGTCTTGGTACGTCAAACAAATAGGGGGCCTTGAATAAGTCATCATATCTCAACGCAGCTGTAAAGATTGAAATACTGTTTATACATTTCCAGGTGTCACCAATTTCTCTCCAATTCGATTACACGCTCCCGAGACAGTTGAGGGTCAGATAGGGAAGGATGTCGAACTCGAATGTATCATTGGTGGATCGTGAGTAATGTTTTTTTTCCTTGTTTTAAGTATAAATATGGACATACCGTTTTGGAATTAGTATCAAATGAGGACATTTTCAGTCTAATAATCGTGCAATGTGGTATATCATGTATCCGAACTTCTAGAGAAGACGCTTCAATTTCTATTTCCACTGGCTCAGAGAACCATGACTTGTTTAGAATGCAAACTTCAATACAAAATATTTTCAAAATAGTGAATTAATACATTAAGTTTAGAGCGATTTAAATATATTTATATAATTTAATTACTTTTATTAATCTACATGAAGCTGTCCATCATTAATGCCCCTAAGCCCACGTCTTAAAACAAACGTTCCGAACTCATCTAGAAGTGTAGACATTAGAATAAGTTCTACCTGCAGTGGCGGAGCCAGGTATATGTCCGAGGGGAGGGGGGGCGGAATATCTGAGATTGCCCGGATTTCTAATATCATTGTGAGATTTTTGCCCGAAAAACATGCTTTCGTGGCTGTGAGGGGGGCGGCTGCCCCCTCTGCCCCCCATTTGGCTCTGCCACTGTCTACCTGCCCATCTCAGGGACGCAGGCTGAAATAGGTCAGTTGTCTGAAGATCACAAAGCGTGAAACTCAAGAGCAACAACATTTTTCAGGTTCTGTTCTAATATGATTAAAACCATACATATGTAAAGTTTTTGTTTGTTTTTTGGTATTTCTAACGAAGACCGTTTTACCATTTGATTTCAGACCAGTACCCACTATAAAATGGTTAGGACTATCCAGTTTACCAATCAAGACGAGGAATAACAAGTATAAGGTGACGAAGTTTGGACGATCGTTACAGATATTTAATGTAACCGAGTCTGATGAGGGAGGGTATACATGTATAGCGGAGAACAACAGTGGACGAGAAACAGTCTTTATTTACTTCAATGTTACTTGTGAGTATCAAATATTAATGGATTTTAAACAGTGAAGTTCTTTCCAAATTTGGATTTTTGGATTGTTGATCACAGACGCTTCATGGGGAATTGGAATGTTGTGATAGAGGCTGTACGTGTCCCAAATAGTCTTACAAATACTAGAAATTAAATTTTGAATCAGTTAAAAAATATTATGATCAAATCCCGATAATTTAGAAATGCAAGAATTTAAGCTGATTATTGTCGTTGATGATGAACTATGGACGTTTCTCGAAGAAGTAGTTATATTAAGTTATTTACACTTTGATCTCATACTCTTGTCTTACAGCGCCACCTATGTGGATTAATTCGCTCCAATCCAAGCATGCTATTGTTGGTGATGACGTCAAATTTACATGTAAAGCGCGACCTGCAGTTCAAGAGGAACTGTTGTCTCCGCCGGACTGGTTCATCAATGGAGAGCCACTCAACATGACAAAAGGTTTGAACATAACTTTCATAACGATATAGCTTTCTCTGATCACAGTGGAGCTTTTCTGGATCATTGGGTAAGAGGATTCGTAGAGGCCACAGAGTTAATTGCCAATTGTATATTGATATTGTTTGCCTTTTGTAAACGGACGGGCAAGTAATATATCAAGCGGGTGTATGGTGTTTAATTGCAGTAATGGAATTCAGAATTATTCAGGAAAGGGGTGATCCATTTTTTCGAGGGCATTGCCACCCTCGTTCCCATGTAGCTTCGTACCTGCAGGCCCATATCAGTTACTCGTGATGTATTCTGTAGCAGACACTCACAATCACAAGTAAAAAGACGTTTTAAAACTTATAATATCATTGCGAATTGTTCGTCTTTCAGAATTAGAACAGGGCCGTATGATGTCTTTTAACGATGATCGCACCATTTTGACCATACAAGATGTTTCACGTGATCGCGATTTGATGTGTATCCAATGTAACATCTCTAACAGTATTGGGTCTGTTTTCTCTGATGCTTATTTAAACGTGCTAGGTAAGTAACTAAAAGCAGAGTAAAAGTTGAATGATATGGTAAAAACATTTTGAAAATAGGAAACCACCCTGACACTTGCTCAATTTTTGCTCTCGGCGCACAATTGGTCTGTTCTGTTCGCAAACTGTACACACATAAGTAACGCACTTTATAGGCACTGCCCAATCACAAAAATGTCCGAAATGACACAGTACTTGTTTGCTCTTAGGTTAAGTATTGTTTGCGCAGTGTAGCAAGCACATCAAGAAACGTTCAAATAAAGTTTTATTCGAAACTTATTTTACATTTTAGAGCCTATCATGATCCTGTCTAGACCCCCCGAGTTCACCGTATTTGGACATGGCGAAGTTTTGAATTTTACCATCACAGCGACCACAGATCCTAGTCAAACTTTAACTCGGCGATGGTTCCTCAATGATAAACCTCTTATCCTTCATCAGCCGTATTTTATGTACGATGAACAATCGGGGGACTTTTATTTCAACACTAGTAAAGTAGCCGTCCAGGACATCGAGTCGATGGCTGGTGAATACAGATGTGAGTTGTCTCATCAACACGAAATAACAGCTGTCGCTTTTTCAATCGCTACTTCTAAACCAACCACAGGTACTTGTAATACTATAATAAATGTACCAAACAAAACACTAGACGCAATGTGAACTACAAAAAGGGATGTTAGCTGAAAAACCCAGCCCGGTAGCAGGTGTTCCAGACGGGTGAGAATATCCTGCCTTACTATCGACATCCGCACCTATACATATAATGATAAAGCTCAAATCACTGGCGTTTCTAAGAAACATTAGGTGAGAGGATCGAGCAGGGGCCACAAAGTGAAAGTAGGGGTGGGGGCTAAAGCCGTAGAAATGCAGTTGCGCAAATTAATTTTATCAGCTCCTTCAAGGCACAAACACTGATCTTCTGTAAACAGTATATTTTCAAACATTTGAGTTACATGATCCTACCAGATTTCTTACAGTAGCTGCTACCAATCTATTGCCAAACTGTTATTTTCTGTTTTCGTTTTTTGGTTTTGAATACTTTGTCTTGTTTGATTATTCAGATTAGACGGGAATTGAAGGGTATTATGTCACTAAGTTATTGATGTTGCATATTTTCAGATAAAAACAGTGACCCAGTTGTAGCGGGTAATTATACGTTTATAATAGTAATTATTGCTGGGTTACTAGTTGTTATTATTGTCTGTATAGTTATTGTTGCCCTGTGGAAAAACCGAACACCTAAAGCTGTTTATAATTGTAAGTTATATCATTAATGTATATTATAGTATAGTATAAGAATGTTGAATTGACTCTCTGCAAAGATTATCGAGTTGATGCACTTAAATACCAATGGACGTTTTGAAAGAAGTGCCAAGTTGATTCACTTAAATACCACATACACTTTATTAGTGTACTCTCTGAAAGAAGTGCCAAGTTAATAAATACCACGTATATATTATCAGCTATAGGACTATAGGATGTAGACCATTACTAGCAATGTGGACCCTCTGAAAGGGGTTTCAAGTTGATGCACATAAATACCATGTCGACTGACCGAAATTTGTTAAACATTAATTTTGCAAATTACAAAACTTTCCATACAAAGATTTCATTGTTCAGAATTCAAGAGAATACGATTTAAAGAACAATCTCGTAAGATCATGGATGACAAGTTGAAATTATCTGTATTTGATTCAGATTGGGTACTACATGTATCTGAACATGTTTGCTTAGTTTATGTAATAGTTAGATCATATCAAAGTAGAATTTTCGTGGTTAAGAAATTGGCAGAGGGAGCGACTTAACTTACTTTGCCTAATGCTATTGCTAAATGTCAAGTGATTGGTAAATTCAAATGACAACTTAGTAGAAAATGTAACCATTGTTAATAGGATGAAAGAGTAGGGTAGGTTCTTAAATTATGTTTTTTTCACCATTATATTTCAGTGGGTAAAGAAGAGGACAAGAATTTCAATCTGACACCGATTAACCAGCTTGAAAGTGAAGAATTACACAATGAAACTATGAATGAAACTATGAATGAATCGAAATTATCTTTATATAGTGTTGGAAAGTGTTAATATAAATCATAGTGAATCATAAACTGAGAAATGGGATGTCGGCACAAAAAACCTCTCAAAAACTAGCGTCCCAAAAGTAACTCTTTTACATTTTAACATTTTATGTCTGCCTTTAAACCGATATCAAGAACGTAATTCACGCCCAAGGAACGGTTAGGGCCAGATTTCTCGTACTATGTGAATCGGTGAAAGGGTAGAAAACATCGTGGATCGTTTGAGGCCTTATTTGCCAACACGAGAGATGAAAACTGGATAGAAGGGAAGGATTATTGTAGTGCTTTATAAATTGAATATTAGAACTGCGACAAGAACCTTGCTTCACATAGAAACACAACAATCTAATTAGGCTCGAATGGTAAGTTCTGCTAGTTCGGGATTCATGGGATCAACCGAGAGAACAATAAAACAGATGGAACAGGGTTTTCATCTGTGCCAGGAAGAGTAGGTCTGAACAGAATTCAAAACAAAAGAAAGGAGGGCAAGGATAAAGTGCGAAAGTGTCTTAATCTGGTTCTGTACCTTCGATTGCGGAATTTGAACCTATCCAGAACTCACCAATCGAGCGCCACATAGTTTATATAAATTAGTTTGAAATATCTATAACATGTGCTTCTAATATGCCTTTGAAAGATTAATTTGAAATTGTTTGAAGGATTAACCACAACCATCTATCCTGTCGAGTATAATCCTTCAGGAACTCGAAGTCCATCCAGCTGTCTTGATGTGGGTTGTGTATCCAAAACACGAGATGGCCACTAGTCAAATATTATGGGATAGAGAGCGTTCATTATATAATATGTCAGTGTTATTGCTTTGTAAATTGTTTGTTATTTCATTTTCTGTAGATATTTATGAATGAATGAAGGGAGTTTTACATCCTACTTTTCATGTCTCAAGATATTGATAAAGTTTATATGATGTGATAATTTGTAAATAATTTGTACAATAAAAGTTATCTGTTTTTATATGCCCACATCTCTCTATGTGGACGTATATTATCGGCACCCCCGTCCGTCCGTCGGTCCGTCAACATTTGCATGTAAACGCTCTAAAAACTAGATTTTTTGATGGAATCAATGAAATTTGTTATATGTATACATATTCATAAAACGAAGATCAAGTTCGAATTTGAGCTATTTTCGACCGTTAGAAGCAGAGTTATTGCCCTTGCCCCAAAATCTTGAATATGCTATTACTCTCTTAGCTTTCAACCGATTTTGATGAAACTTAAAATGGATGTTTCGTTTTTACCATCCGCATGCCGTGGTGGGCGTATATGGCTGTGGTCCACTATCTTATAATATCCTTTTCGTTTAGCTATAGTATAGTCAGATATTGTTGACATCATGGGAAAGATTACACTTCTACGCTTAGGCTTCTCATGAAATGCACAAGCATCATGCTGGCTCATACATAATTCTAGAAGTATTCGGCAATTGAAATATCACATGTACCTCCAGCGAAAATCTGATTTACAAACATATGGACTCTATAAAAGACATGTGGAGTTAACACTATGTCGCACAGTCGCTGTCAAAAGGGGCCCTTGCAGAGCCAGTATGTCCTGCATCGTCAGCTTCAACCTACACAATACCTCTAGTGGAGATATAGTCAAAAAAACAATGTACACAATAAGGCCTTTGCAAAATTTAAATCAACTTTAACGTTTTAATGTCCTGCACCATAGTGAGCACTAGACACGACCCTGGGGCGGTTTATTGGCCGTATTGGTTTATATTTACGCAGTGACCCGAATGACATTAAACTATAAACTGGACAAATCAAATACTTCCCAAGGTTGCAGTTTAGTTGAGAGAACGTTTCGACCGTGATACATCAGACATTTTGAACGTATTTCGCTGACATCGCAATAATTGACTTATAAACACTAAAGGAGACTTTCTTTTAATACCTTTTCTGTGAACTTTTAAAATCAATTAAGGTAGGTTAATATTTAATCATATAACTTCAGTGATGTTTCTACCGGGGGTAGGGGGCAGCCCCCTATAAATGAGTCTTGCCCATATCCCCCAATTTCAAATCTCATATCATTGAATTCTTGCATGCCTTGGGAAGTGTTCCTTTTGACAATTCGTGGCTCCTATTCGGCCTCTTTATCTAATGATTCCTAGAAAGGTCACTGTGTAATATACATTTTGAACACAATGTTAAAGAGAAGCCGAGATCTGAGGCACTTACCTCTTTGATGTATTTTGATACTTCAGCTTAAAAGGATACAGTTCATTAGTAGTATATTTTAATATTAGATATCATGTGCACAGATCTATCTAGATTTTACTCTGCTCTTTGTTGGACTATTATATGAACTGTGCTTGTTCATTAATATTTCTAAAGCTTGATTTCATTCAAGGTTTCGCTGCATTCAAAAAGCGCAATGATACCTATACGTTTTTTCTATTTCTTTTGGTGTGTTTTTGGGGTAATTATTTATTTATAATTTTTCAATTCAGGATGGAAATGTTAGCAAAAACAGAAGCTATGCAATTTTTAGTTGATATACTAGAACTCAACAACATTGAAGAGATTTTGAACTACGACGATAAGGTCAATGCAGTGGAAGCGATCATGGATGCGTATCGAGAAAAAGAACCGTTTCAAAACATCAGCCTGATGTCGGTTGATTTTGACAAGAGAAGTCGGCCATCTTGGACTGAAATCAAGAACGCTATATTTTTAAAACAAGGTGGATTATGTTATAGTCATCATATCTTTTTATTCGCCCTGTTCAAAGCGCTGGGTTTCCACGTTTCTTTGGGTACTGGTGGAGTTACCGGACCTAATAATCACGTGGTATTGTTCTTTAAGGACGTGTGTATACAAGGTGATGTTTATTTACTAGAAGCTGCCATTGGTCTTCCTTCTTTTCACCTCATTTCTTTAGATTTCGAACACGAGTCTCCCGTTTATCGTGACTCTTTCTTAGAGTACAAATATATCAAACATGGCGGCAAGATATTGCGCATGCACCGGAAGGGAGATCCGAGACCAAATTTCGTAAAAGAACGAGATATAAATGTAGATGGATGGACGAGGTTTTATGACTTTGAGATCGCCGATACTCAAAATATTGAGGACTTTAATGACGATTATGATGCTGTCTATACCGATCCACAAATCACACATTTTCATTCCAGTTTCCATTTTATCATTTTCATAAATAGAAAAGCTTTCATTGCTCATAACACCAACATTTTAACTGAAAATGATGAAAATGAGCTAGAGAAAATCGAGAGTGAAACAAACGAGGAAATTATAAGGTTTATGCGCAATCTTACATCATCTATAGATGAATCAACCATACGTCTTGCCTTGGGGAATTATAAGGATACAAAACGGCGTGTGACATCAAAAAATTAGAACGGATGAATATTGTATCCTGTTAACTCTATTTTAGTGATTCCCAGGAAAGTTGGATTATGAATGCTCTCAAGGCGCGGGCACACGAGCGGTCTTGGTCGGAGATATTTGTCGCCGATGAAAGTCTTGAGTAAAATCTTAGGTGTGCCCGTGCTTCCACGACAAGATTGTCGCGTCCTCGAAGGTTTTATAATAGCAACAAGTTTGATAATTGTCTCCGATTATTCTATCGTCTGCAAGACAGACTGCCATCATCCAATCAGATTCATTTTCTCTTCGATTGCATGCTTCACACGTGATTATCGACATGGTGGAAAACGGCCAATTAGAGATTTGTGTCTCCTCGTGTACCCACAACCGGTCGGTAAAACTCTTGACAAGGCTCTAGTCGGCGACAAAAGTTTCCAACCAAGACCGTTCGTGTGCCCGCACCTTAAAGGTCCAAATGGATGAGATACGGTGCATGATGATGTGTTGAATATTCCTTTAAAGTAGGAAATTACAGAAGCAAATCGTGTCTGCATTGTGTCCTGACCCAAACCTCGTGAATTCGCTTCTTCTATTATTTAATGTATAGATAATCCCCGACATTAAGCCACATCTGACAACATATCTCGTCCATTGAAAGCGATTTGCACGCTTATTGTCGATTTCTTTGAAGTACAAAATTATTCTCGACCAGTTCCAGACCATTTTATTTAGCCTCAAACCAATGCGATATTTCATTGTAAATATAATAATATTGAGAACACACTTTCAAATCTTTTCCTTCTAAAAATTTAAGTCCTCAATTTTCAAAATACCCCCCTCTCCCTCCCAATTCGAAGTTCTAAAACCGCCGCTGGTCATGGTGTAATGAAGGTTCATTTGATGTGAACGTCTCTTGAAAGCTTTAATTATGATTGTGAAAAAGGCATTGCAACTAATATATTAGAGTGGGCATCTACTGGGACTTCTTTGCAAATAGTTTTCAACGACAAATACCATAGTTTTATAATTATTACTTACCTTATTAAATATTAAAACAGAACTTGAATCATTTGAGTAACAACATATATACATATAATAGCTCTACAATTGATGTATTAAACACTTTTAACAGTGGTATTTCTGTATCGCTCTACAATTGATGTATTAAACACTATTTTAACAGTGGTATTTCTGTATTGCTCTACAATTGATGTATTGAGCACTATTTGAACAGTGGTATTTCTATATCTCTCTACAATTGATGTATTGAGCACTATTTGAACAGTGGTATTTCTATATTGCTCTACAATTGATGTATTGAGCACTATTTTAACAGTGGTATTTCTATATTGCTCTACAATTGATATATTGAGCACTTTTTTAACAGTGATATTTCTATATCGCTATACAATTGATGAGAAAATATTTTATTATCATAGTTTTATAAATATGCAAGAATTAAAAATAATTAAAAAAACTATTCGATAACATTTTAATCTAGTAAGAGTTATCGATGATTTATAATAGAACAAGCACTTGTCAGACAATTCTCCAGTTAATTGCAAAAAATACAAAATATAAAATAATAACAATTAATCAACTAAGCTAGCATTGAAAAGCAAACCATATTCATATGGATTTGAGCAATACATTTGCTATTAGGAATAGTTTTTGAGAATGCTATTTGCCCGGATTAGTTTGTGCATTCTGAAACTGATGCCAATGGTCCAAGGCTTGTCGAACAATATCTTCGCTAAATTGTGGAAAATATTTTTTAAAAGCTTCTACATGTTCGTCATCGTTAGTTAATTTGACAACCGAGAGTTCGCCATTTTCATCTTCGGTCTTCAAGGTGTTATTGGTGATTGATACTTGACGTTTGTTGGGGTAAGCTACTATACGGAGAATTGTATGAAATATTCCGATGTCTGGGTTAGAGAATATCTCGTCATAGAACGGCTCGCAATCTTTCACCTCCTTGGTACCAGTTAGATTGAATACACACATTTCATGCCATGTTTGTTTATCAGTGTCCAGATAAAACATTATACCCTTCTCGCCTTTCTTCGAATATTTAAAAGTTCCACTGGGATGTTTGTACACTTTAGATTCAGATTCAAAATTCATGTCCACAGCCTGAAATGTAGGACAACTAAATCCGACTTCTGCCAAAAATTGGTCTCCTTTATTTACGACATCGTGGACAAACACCACTATATGGTCGTTTGTGTACAGTTTTGGTGCAGACGTGACAGTAGAATGAGCAATAGTAACGGAATATCCCAACGCTTCTAACAGACGATACAGAAACAAATTCATCGGGTAACACAGTCCGCCATGTTTTTTCAACATGGCCTCCTTCACCTCTGGCCAATCCGGACGACTTCTGTCTTTCACCTCGTTCGCCATCAATGTTATATTTTGAAATGGTAAAGTTTCCAGAATACTAGAAATGATGTTATTAAGAAAAGTCAAATCTAATTTTAGATTCTCAAAGTCTGATTCAAGATTTACAATATTTTTCAAGAAATCAACCGCTTCTTCTTTAGTTAGTTCCATCTTATTTATCCTCCGCCTGGAATATTCAAAAGTAAAAATCATCACCATATTATGACACGAATAACACAAACTTCATTACAACCGATTGGGGATGCCTTGGATTCACCAACTTCAAGGCAAAAGTAATCGAATTAGTTCTGGCACTGCAGACGAAAGCGTGTTGCGGCCCGAAAATACCAGCAAGATTTTAAAAAGGGGTGGGGGTCGGGTTAACTCATTTCACTTCTCGTTTATAGACTTTCTATACTACTAATTTTGGAAATCAATAATACCCGATAATCACAATTCGTGATTATTAGAGGTCATATTAATATCAGTATTTGTTTAATATATTGAAGAATTATTATCATTACTAATGTAAACGTCTTTCCATACATACACTTGTAAATGTCATTTTATTGTGATCTCACAAATTTCATATCTTAGATGGTTATCTTCCCTTAACACTATCAATTGCTAGAGCGCGTGTCGAAGCGAGCTGGCAAACATACGTGGGTGAATCGCACGAATACAGGTGCGATATAAACACTATGACTATAACATTTTTAGTAATATCATTCGACAGTTAGCTATTTATTTATTATTTTTCTAAAAAAAAAGTCGCTGTGAAGCATATTGCACAAAAATTTCTTATAAACCTACCTTGACAAAAAATTATTATCTTATGCAAAATTGAAAAAATATAAACCGCTGAAGTGTCTAAGCATACAAGTTTGCGCTCCCTGGTCACGTGACATTAGTGAGTTCGACGAACTGTATATTATATTATACTGTTGGTAGTATAGCGAGTACAGTTGTACTGTATTGAACAAGATGAATATATAATTTAACTATGTCGATATTCAGAACACTGTAGTAGGACGTAAAACTCCATTCATTTCATTTAGAACACTGGACAAGATGTTGTTTATTTTTTTATTAATATATTCATATTAGTCATCATTATATTGAGTACTACCTCAATTACATCAGGATATCTATCATATATTCAAGGGCGGACTGGGGCCAAGAGGGTTCGGTAAACCTAGGATACCGATTAAAAAATGTTTAATAAATTGATATATCACTACAATTTACACATAAACTTACCCATTATTTGTACGTTGTGTGTAACAATAAATATATTATATTTGTCTGATAAATGGTTTTCGTCTTCTTAAGCCTACAAGGTGCAGAGAAGTAGGATGTAAAACTCCATTCATTTCATTTCTGATAAATGTTTTATTGTCAAGGTTATATTCCAAGGGAGATAACCACGTATATCATGAATTCAGATACTGTAATTGTGGTATTTAGCCATCGTATTTAGTAAGATCTATAGAAGCTGATGTTGATGTAAAAATTATATTATATTGTATCCTGCTTACGAGTCTGTTTTACTGACACATTTGCCTGGGGTGGGAGAAAAAGTGAGTTGATAAAGCAATTAATTATCGGTGCATATTTGTTTACGTTACATTGTTGATCCAAGGGAAGTAACCATCTCTTTATTTCAACATACGTTTAGTTTTTAGCATAATCTACATTGATAAACAAATTGCGTCACACTGTTCTGATGTTCTTAATGCTCATCTTTACAGGAATATATGGAAGCTTTAAAACTCACTCTCGTAAACTACGCTTCTGTTACTAGAAAACTCACTAAAGAAGACCGTCATTATGCAATGGTGGACTCCATCTGGACTCCCTAGACTTTAAAGCTCCCATCCCCCCTCTTGCACCTCTGTTACTAGTTTACCTACATTTCAACTTACCCTCTTCCAGCTTACGTTGCTGTACCTCGAGTACCTACTCAAGAACAAAACCTTTAAGCAGCATTGTACTGAAGCGCAGCTGATTTCGATTGTTCCAAAGCGTGCATACTGCATCTCCAACACTTGCATTACATCTCCCCTGTTACAAGTATACCTTATTTGGCAATCAACCATATTACATTTCCCTGATGCCCCGATATACTCGTTTGTCCCAAAGCTTGCGTACCTCCCCTACCAATTTACGCCTTTATCACTAGCAAACCTACATTAGCGATCAACTCAATTGAAAAGTCATATAAACGATAAGAGACAGCAGGTCGGTGAATATTGGTTTCCACTCACTGCTTTTTATAAATGAGAAGAGAGGAAAAACAGACTGATGAGAGTGACGAGATAATTGAAGAAAAGACCAAGTGAATAATTTGATTGACACCTAGTTTTCTATGGTATAAATGGCGAGTCGACATTAGTAGTGTTAATACGTTTTTTTTACAGATTATGACGCATGTTCCTGAGTAAGACTGGGAAAACACGTCTAAACGTTGCATAAAAACTTTTACCAGCGATTATTGTTCCGTAAAGCTGTGTCTATAATAATTTTCTATGGTATAAACTGCATTAGTAGAGTTAACATACAGATTATGTCTTCTGAAGCCACTGTAGTTAGTTTTGCTATAATGTTCTGTTTACTTATTATGGTGGTTTTGTCAACTCCACATAGCTACTGACGGATTTAGTCGTTTTCTTGTTCCATCTGATCGATTGTACACTTTTAGTTTTACCATGTCAGCAGGCCTCATCCCCTCCTAGACCTGCGGTGGCTCAATGAGTTGCTTGCTAACCGGGGGGGAGGGGGGGGGGGGGGTTCCAGGGTTGAATCCTTGCATAGGTCGAGCTAATACGTTCGGATTTGTCAACTCGGTTTCCCCTGTCAGTGATGTAGGTAAGGGGGGCTGACATGAAAAAAGCGTCTAGTCGTTCGGATGGCACTATAAACCGAGGCCACGTGTGTTACAGGCTGTGCACGTTAAAGATCCCTCGACAGTTGGAAATTGAAAAAAGAGCAGGCTAATGCCGCTGTCCTGGCAAAATTTCCCTCATTGCACCCTGCATTTTTATATGTTTCTTTGCCTAGATTCTAGAGCTACCTCATATAATTCGTGAAGATGGGGGCCTTAAGGTTTTGAGAAGTGTCCTCTTCGTACTAAATATCGTATTAGTGTGTGCAAGGCAGTACTCTAGAAGAGGGTTCTCTTCTAGACACCTGATACCCTCTATCATTATGAAATACTAACTCACTTATGATTGATATTACATGTACTTCCTCTGATGAAAAATTCAATAGTTGCTACTAATGTATTGCCACTATTTGGTATTGGATTTTAGCACTTCCAATCTTAAAGGTATATGTGTAGCATTTTGCGGAGTTGAGTCCGGAATACATTGTATATGTAAATAGTCTTCAGAAGTACTTCGAAAATCTCATAATTCCTGCAAAAATACGCCAAACTATGAATTTCTTTTCCTATTTCTATAGATGTTTTTTTCTCTTTGGCAGTGTCTCAAAAAAGAACGACGCGTCAAACTCAGATAATTCTGGACATACATGGATTTGAAGGCCCAAATTTCGACGGTCAGCCGTTATCACTATTACTGATTGGCTTAGCTAAAAAAACATTCCCGCTTCTGAGACTAAAGCATGATTGGTCACGAAAATGGCGCAGCTATCTCTTTGATCACAAATTGCCCTACTGCACTCACCTGCATCTCCCACCAGTGAAGACTGTAAACTGTAAGTTTGGAATGTTAAAAATCTAAAGCAATCGCTGGAAACTATGTGTTTTTTAAGTACGATTAATTACAAAGTAAATGGACGGTATGATTAAACGTGATACTAAGGTATCTCAATACTTGTACGGCTTTTCGTTGAGCGGAAATTAAGTCAACAACACCGAACTGGGTCATATTTACAGTTTTCTTGGCTAAAACTCATTTAAGAGCACAATATCAAATATATGGCCAAACAAACCATTGGACCGGTGTTTTAGATACCGTGGCTGTCGTGGCAAATTTTTTGACAGTTTGAAATTCTGTTTGCTTATTCCGCCCTGCAAGCCCGGGAAGCAACATACATGCATCTTCGGCGAACCTTAGTGCACCGTGGGGGGAGCCGCTTTATCGCCTGTAACGGATACCGCGATAAACCGTGAGGAAACGTAGACACAACCTAGCATAACTTGGATATGGAGACAAAACGGCCAAAATCCCACGGCACAATACGGTTCGGGCAAATGGGGCTTCCGTGGCCGCCGGGAACATAGTGCATACCTAACAATAACACCGATCTTGATGTGCCATCTACAGAACCTTCCAAAGTTCTGCAAATTTGTATTTAAAAACAAGAACTCGTCCAGACAAGTACACCCGGTCGTGATATACTTCCTGAATTAAATCTGGTTTAACACTGTCAGCGTATCAGGTGTAGCAAGATATGGAACGAACTTCGAGGACGATTGTTGCTTTTTGGTAATCGAAATAGAGTAGGTCAATTCAGCTGTTCCGCGAAATTTTTTGTATAGATAAAACGGGATCATAAAGTCGGGAATAAACTACATTCTATAAAAACTACTAGTGCTGAATATGGTATTTAATCCGTCTGACTCCAAGCAATATATAACCACAGAGTACATGCAGGTTGTAATCGACTGATTGACCAGCCTCATTAATGTCTAGAAGCTGTTATATTAAACTTGATTTCCCCCCCTAATCAGTTATTTATCCTGTAATAACAAACGATTAACCAATCAGCGGTAATCGATATCCGGGTCGATACGTATCCATGTTCTGAAAATTGATATGGCCCTGGGTCGTTTCGTTACAAATTTATCACCATTTAGTATTTAGAGAGAGAACTGTGTTGACAATCTAATACAAACTGATAAGAAATTCAATATTGATGAAAACAAGGCTTATTGGTTGGTAGAAGACAAGGTAACATCCGCTTCCAGTTAACTATAAAAGCTGGTTGGAAATCGAAGATATGGTGAATTCTTAAGAACTTTTTTTCACTACTACCAAAGACAATATGGTACCTACTAATCCTTTTTATGGAAGGTAATCATTGAGTTGTTTTCATGAGGACTTACTGAAATTTCGGCTTCCTGAAATATTAATCCCTCAAAATTGGTCTTAGCAAGTCTTTAATAAAGAAAGTATTCAAAAAGGTAATCTATCATCTGAAAAAAAATTCTTTATAGACTTATTTCATTTATTTTAAAATTAATTTCTTGATTCGAAATTGAAAAAAAAACAAATCTAAAAAAGTTACGTTCGTAATGTTAGAGTTTACCGTCACTCGCTTTTGTATTTGGTTCAAATTAAAAAAGATTAATTCGCATAGCTATTTCAAGTTTGTTGTAGTGTATGTTGGTTTGAAAATGAAAATTCAAAGAGGTGGCTGTACAATCGTCGTTGATTTTATGCAATTATCACGGTTGGGTTTTTCTCAGAATCTCTCAGTGGCAAGGTCGTTCTGGGATGCCCTTCCAAGATTCCGAAACACGGATGATACAGTTACTTTATATCTACGACCCAGGTGGATAGAACGTAAACTCCGTTATATTTCATTTTATAGAACAGCTCGCCATTGACTGATGTTTTCATTTGTCCATTAGACGAGTGACGTCTTGACACTGCCAGTATTGTGTCCACTGTTAGAATGATATGTCTTAAGACTGTATCAATAGTAACCGGAATTATACATAGCAGTTGACATTGACATCGACCATTAGTGGGATTCTAGTAGTACTTAGTGATACTAATCTATAGCCATTAGCTATTACAATCAATTCCCTTGAACACACCGTGACTGTAGATTGATAGGGCTGATACCAGTTGGACATAATCTTAACTCTGACCTTGGCTATATTTTATCTAAGATAC